GGCGGTCATAAAAGCCCTAAACCCTGGTAGTATTCTTATCATAGTTCTTGCCATTACCGTTCTGGGCCGAGGTTCGACTTTCTGCAGAGTCTGGCTGGCAGCATGAAGCCTCCCAGGCGTTTGGCGAAGCCTTTTGCAAACACAAGTATAGTAGCAAAAACATCACAATAGCAACAGTAACAATACTACGGGCAATAATAACAACTGATAATACTAACAATAGTAATAAACAAGAGGAAAAACAATCACAATATTATTTTTTGATAATACTGGTGTGGGTGGTGTTGGCACAGTGCCTGTGTTTGTTGTCTGATTTGCCTCTTGGCTTCCCTGCGCTGTGCAGGCTTGAAGTCTACTTGAGTTGCGGCACGAAGGCTCGCGGGAGCAGGGAAGTACGCTGCCAGCAAGCTACACAGAGCTTGATTTCCCAGTCGAGCTTCATTTCCCTGTCATGTAATGACGCTATGGTTTTCTTTCATGCTCCCCCTCTTTTCTATGCCCTATCACCGATAGGTTGCCGCTGGCAGCTCTCCTGACTGGGCTGCCCTTTTGGCCGATCAGCTGCTTGATCCGCAAGTCATGCTTTGGCACCGTCGCTGCATGCTGTAACCACCAAGCATCACATGGGATTTAGGGTTCAGTGTTTAGGCTGAGGGCCTATTGCGAGTCTAGGATCAGAAGCTTCCGGCACGCCCAAGGTTGACTCATCCAGCGAATTGGATGGACTCGGTGTCGGCCATGCTCAAGGCGGTGAATCGTTGGCTTGGGTGCTGAATAGTAAGATCCTGATTGTAGGTACCCCCAAATAGGGACGACTTTCTGGAAGCCCCTAAGCCCTAAATCCCAAGCCCTAAACCACAGAGCATTTTGTGGATGGGACTTTCATGCCACGGAGAAAGGTCCGGCGAACAAAACCTAAGCCCCATTCCCTAGACCCCTGAACCCCTAAATCCCGAAAATCCCCAAAACCGGGACGTGGATGGCTGAGAATCTGTAGGATGGCCTCGGCGAGTTCTACGAGTGCGGTCCGCACGCTCCCAGTTCAACAGTCATACTAGGAGTGACAGCATAATAGTAACAATCATCGTAATAGTAATGATAAAAAGCAGTGATAGTAGGAATAAGGAATAAAGTACTAATAGTAGTACTAAAATGTCATAATCGTCGTAATCGTAAAAATCGTAATAATAGCAATAATCCTGTTGCAACTTAGGAATTTGGACTTGAGAGGTTTTTTGCTTTCATGAATGTTTTTAATCATCTCAAATCAACATTGCTTCTGATTGCACTTCTTCAGATCCTTGTATCCCTGAGGTTGAACCAACTGAAAGGCATGATGAGGAGGATAGATCCCAAGGCGTACAAGGACCGTGAAGGGATTGAGCGAAGAGATGGCTGAGATACCAGAGCATATGAGCTGTAGTCAAACTGCTTAGAGAAGGTTTTATAAGGAATCATAAGGGGGTATTATACGGGTTATTTCGGGGAATACTAGGAGTTTAGACTATAGATCATATAAGACTGGAGCGCCAGGCTACTGTTGCCTTGGACGTCTACAGCCCTCTCCTTAGTTTTTGTTCATTCTTCCTTTGGGCCAGAAGAAGTTCCTGGGCACTGAGTGTTTGTTGCTATGCTTGATGCTGAAACTCCTGCATGACCCTAGGTACCGGTTTCCATAGGATGCAAAGGTCATGCAGGATTTCCCTGTCTCAGCCGTAGTCTCACCCAGCATCATACCCTTCTTACTGGTGGTTAGTAGGGAATCTGGGAATATAATCCCCATAGAATCCATATCATAATATATATCCATATACCCTGCTAGGCCCAATATATACCCTGCTATAATATAGTAGTTTCCATGTTCTTTTAACCCTAAACCCTAAACCACCCGAAAAAATCACCTAAGCCCTAAACCCTAAACCCTACTTCCTTCCAGGCGAAGAGTGGCAGATGCGACCGACCGGCAGCCTACCCCCGCGCTGGGATCCTTGGCTGCAAATGGCCAAAGGCGACTGCGGTCTAGGATCTAAGGTCTAGGTTCAGGGTATACTACAGCCCCTAATAAATAAACATGAAAGCCGAGTATTATCACCCCGCTATATCCATACATATGTACTGAAATATCGATGTATAGGCTACCCAAACGGGCACCGCAATTTTGATAACAGCCAGATCTATATTCACCCTAAAGCCTAATCCCTAAACCCATTGCTGGCAGCCTCAGGGTGAGACTCCTCCGGCAGCTTCTGCAGTTGACTTGCTGGCCGTCGGTGCCATGCCAGCACAGACCTCAGCTTGAGTCCACGAAGCTGGAAACAAGTCCTTCTGCTACGCATCGCACGTCGCGCGCGCAACCCCTAGAGTTGTCAAGCGGTACTTTCTGTGATTTGTTGAAGATTGACAGGAAGGGTGGCTCAGAAAGTAAGCATCCCTTTTGCTGCTTTCGCAGGATGTGGTCTGGCATGGTTTGGGGCGCCGCAAACGCATGTGTCACATGACATGGAGTGTTAAAGAGAAGGATATCCGTGAACATTTTGAAGTTGCCATAGCGCGAAAACTGGAAGGAAGTGCATATGAATGATGGGCCACAAAGCTCATCTCGTTCAGCTTCGTGTCATACAGTAACCTGAAGATTTAGGAGGAATCCTGCCCAGACTGTGACTGGAGTGCCCAAACCAGGGCCAACTTGAAAGCACTTAACTTGGCTGGGTTGCGGTTTGGCCGGGTCGTAAGCGATTTACAGCTTAGCTAGGGTCCCGGTCGCTCACGATGTGGGCTGGGGGCAGTTTCCTGCCCAGCTCTTCTACAGGCTTGAGTTTCCCAACCTGACCGGCAAGCTATTGAGCTTGGTGCGTCAAATAAATCAGATTAAATGTTGTAATGTCCCCAAAACCTTCAAACACCCAACCCCCCTACCCCCGCCAAACCTCCTCCCCCACTCTAAACCCTAAACCCTGGACCCTACATTCCTGAAATTCCCAAAAACACTCCGCATCTGGACTTCCAAACCAACGCCAAGCTCTAACGCTCTGCTTCCCTATACTGGGTTGCTGTTGAGGAACTTACATTAAGTTCCCATAATGGGTGTATAGGGTTTAGGTTTCAGGGCTTACGTTGCCATAATGAGTATCTTAAATCATAGTAAAGTAAATAGTATTCCCCAATATAGTAAGTTAAGCTAAGTTCCTTAACAGCAACCCAGTATCGCAGGTCCGACTGACGGGAGCCACCAGTGAAAGGCTCACGGAGCGTCAAAGTACTGGCTTTCACTGCGAATTCTGTAGATAGAAACACTCAATAATACCAATAAAATCCAATAGCAAGAATAATAACACTACTCATACGCATACAGCCATACTGGTATTACGAATTTGAGGAATAATTGTACCAATAATACCTAATGTAGACCCATGATGATAATAAACCCCCTCCTTTAAAGAGCCTTATTAGTAGAATCCCTTTTATAATCCCTATCAAGGGAATGGAGTTTATTAATCAGGGGTCTGGAGTATTTGAATACTATGATTATAGTCAGGCAGATCCTCGGCCCCTTTCCCAAACAGGGAAGACCCTGTGAGAACCCCCGTGAGGTCCTTTTATTATCTGAGCTATAGTCTAAGCTGCTGTCAGGGGGGCTTATATGGGGGATTATATAGGGGAGTATTATATGGGTTATTCAGGGGGATACGCTTAGATTATGGCTCATCTTGCAGCTTCAGGGATGGGTTCTTTGCAAGTGCTGGCTGGCAGTATGCGCTGATAACCTGTTCAACAATGCTGTGTCAGCAGATAAACAGTTGCCATTGCTTCATTGCCAATAATGCTCACAGGTGAAATAGTCCACGCTTTTGCATGCTACATGGAAGAGCACGCAAGGATGGCGGGCGACAGCACATCAACCAACTAGAACCCCGCAGTGAATGAGGAGAATTCATTGAGATTTCTATATCTTTTAAGAAAGAAGAACATATATCAAAAAACAGGTTCAAATTTCTATAGCATTTACAAACAAATAGGCTCATTTCGATGATCTGAAGGGGGGCATTCACCTTTTCCTCTCTCCCGTGGCACTTCTCCTGGGATTTTGGCTGGATTGGCTCCTTTGATGGAAGTGTTCCCGTGCTAGAAGTTGCCATGGAAATCAACAGGTTGCCTCCTGTCCTCAGTACATGTGGTAGTTGATCACGAAATGAGCTATAGTTTGAACTCCTTCAAGGCGGTTATATATGGGATTATATAGGGGAGTATTATAGGGGGTATTAAGGGGAATACTAGGATCTGAGAGTACAGCTCAAATTGCCATCATGGCAGGCAATTTTTCCAGACATTTTCCTCGTACATGTAGACCTACAGGAGCCCAAATGAATTTCCCAAAATGACCTCCAGAATAAAACCCTGACTCCAAAACCCTAGACCCCTTTGCCAGCTTGCATAAGCGGGAAAAAGAGGCGCCTAAAAAAATGAACACCAAAACCCTAAACATTAATGATTAGCCCCCATGTAGACCTTGTTTGTCCTGTCCTTCCAGGCCGCCATAGGCGCTCGGCAAAGGTTCCCGTTTCCACCACTGGCGGTCGAGCGCATTGAAAAGGGACAAATGGGTACAGTGGCTCTTGCGGTTTTCCTATGGTCCTGTTCTCATCAGGGAGCCTGGCACAGGATCCCATCATATAGATTGGACGGGTGATTCGGCAACTTTGTTTGCACGACCTGCTCCAGCATTGACTTTCGTAGCTTGTCCTTGCAAGTGTCTCTTTGATGACTTTGATGTGTGCGGGCCGCAACTAAGCGTGTTCGCACCAGTGTATGTATAGCAGCATAGTATGTGCACCATCTTGTGATGGGTGTTGGCCGTTGGCTTCTTTCTGGAGGTAGAGGAATAGGTTGTGTTGCAAGCAAGGTTTAACCATAGAACACCCCCACAGAGACTAGTACTCAGCCCCGTCATTTTGCTGGTGGAAGGTAAGTGTTCAGGGGACCAGTCCATAGTCTGCATTATACCTAGATGTAGATCTGCAAAGTGATGCTCTGCAATGCCGGAGCAAGCGGAACGGCCGCGCCGGCCGTCTGTCGAACCCAGCTCTGCCGTGGAGCGCGCGACCGCCGGCGTCTCGTTGGAGGTCGTTTATGGCTTTGGCTCGCACGGCAAGAGCCTGCACAATGCGGTGCTCTTCGGCTCCTCGGCTTGCAACCTTCTTATGTCTCGGCTTCTTTGGAGTAGGCTTGCTTCATGTTGAGGTGACATTGCTGGACAGTACCTGGCGCAAGCAGTTGGGCGACAACTGGCTTTCAGGCACCTGCTGGGGGACGAGGCCAGAACATGAATTGACGACCCTTCTTGCCTTCAGCTGCGGCAAAATTACTTACAGTTGAGGTGAGCTTTGCTTCCGAGAGTTGTGATGTCGAGGCAGGGCAGTGCAGGCGCACATTCGATCATGTCTCCATCCGAACATGCAACTGACACTGTATACAACCGAGGCTATCACGGCTTGCGCTGCATCTCGCAGCCGGTCGTTCCTGGCAGTTTGCCAGGCGGGTTGTTTTCAAAATTATGGGCTCGTTTTGGGTACAGAATATACTGTATTGCGGCACCTGAAATTTAAGGGTGCCAAAACGGGACCGTAAACCCTACACCCTAAACAGTAGCTTCCATTTTCTTGTCCATTATTCCTAGAAAGCCCTAATTTTGGGAACCCCCATAACTCTCTGAAACCCTACTCCCTAAACCCTAAACCCTCCTAATCTTGGGAACTCTCCAGGTGTGCAGACCAAATCGGTCTCAGGTTTCAATCTACGAGTTGGGACCTGTGGCCAGCAACAGACCTGTGCAGACCTTGCAGGAGTTCTGGGTTCCTTGAAAGGGGAAATATAGGGTTTAGGGTTTAGGCACAGGGTTTTTCATAGGGCTTGCCCAAAATTAAGGCTCCCTCCTAGGGGTTTCCTATAACAAGGACTACAGTATGTCGACATCTATTGAGATCAATTGGTGAGAGCCTAACAGTTCCATTGCCAGACTTCACACTTCAGACTTCAACAGATGTAAGCAGTTGCCCTACTTGGAGGGTCAGGGGGACTTAGTAAGTAGGTTAATGAGGGTGATAACTGGGGTGAAAGTGATTTCCACAACCAAGGGACCCTCTTGTAGATCCCAGTACATCCCAGCACATTATAATCCTTTTTATTGGCCTTCCCAAAAGCGTGCCCCTTGTTTCAGAAACCCCAAGCCTTATAGAATCCGTATAAACCGTATATCCTCTTTAGAGGGACCTGAAACTCGCAACTGGTACAAGCTATCTCTGGAGGAGCTCAACGGCATTGACGGCCCTGTGGGGCCAATCGCAGCCGTGGCTTTTTCATCTGCCAGCCAGGCAATCACCCTAAAGCCTAAAGCCTAAACCCTAAGCCCTAAGCCCTGCACCCTAAGCCCTAAGCCCTAAACCCTAAGCCCTAAACCCTAAACCTAGCCAGCCAGGCAAGCGGAACTCCCGAGGATGAAGCCTCAAGGCCCCTTGGCATCTTTCTAATACTTTCTCAAAACATAACAATGATATCGCATGTTTTTGAATGAATATCTGTGTTCATCATGATAGCTGTTAACGTTTTCATAAGAATTCGTGTTCTTATTAGAATCGGATCTCGAAGTCTTTTTGCTATTCCTGTTGTCATTGTTGCTCTCACCTGGAAAGCTCGAGAGTTTGACCTGAAGAGCCTGAGGCTGGCGGTGGCTTCCACGGGGCTTCATGCCCAGATCATCGTCTTAGACTGGAGGTGCCCCCAGCCCAACCCTACTGACTTCAGGGCTTTAGGGGCTTAGGGCTTAGGGCTTAGCGTTTAGGGTTTAGGGTTTAGGGTAAGCCATCATGAGCGGATTTTTGGAAGCCTACGCAGAACCAGAACTAGGACCCCAGATCTATCATGTTGCCAAAATTCCCTCGTTTAACCCTAACCGCCATTTCGGCTTTTCAAATAACCACCCTCATACCCCCTAGCAACAAATGGTGCTACGAAAGTGAATATGGTACCATTGTATATTTGGGGGATCTAAGGGGAGTTCTTCAAACTTGGGTTCTGGAGGTTGAACGAGATCTTCAGCCGCTTCACGCTCCAGGAGGAATTGTCGAGGATCCTCGCCCCCGACTTCTAGTATATTCCAATATACTATAGCCTATTGTAGTATACTGTAATATATTTTAGTTATAACTCACTATCGTATTTTGTAGCAGAATATTTTTCAATCACCACAATATGGATCTGTACATGAATTCAAGGATATGGTGTTCTTTCGCACTGCAAGTCAGCCAAAGGCTTGTCACTTCCTAAACCTTACGTACACCCTAAACCCTGAACCCTTAATACCTTAAACCCTAAACCCTGAATCTCAAAAAACCCCAAACCTTAAGCAGCCAAAAACATAGACCTAAATCCTAAACCTTCTGAGCTACCGTGAACCCTAAACCCTAAACCCTCTAAATGATAAACCCTCAGCCCTAAACCCTAAACCCTCTAAACCCTAAACCCTAAACCCTTAACCCCAAACCCCAAACCTGCAGAGCCGAGGATAGATTTTTGCCCACTGGACTCCGACATGCTGTCGGGCTCCAATTTTGGCTCCTTCGACATCTTTCTCCTGAGGCAGGGGCTTGATGACAGACCTGGGAGTCCCCACTTTTTTTGATCATTGTAATTAGCAGCATATTACGGTATATCATAATATATCATGGCTGTAATATTCTGCAACCAGTTATAATCTATTAAAATCTATTACAATATGCTATAATATACCCTAAACCCTAAACCCTAAACCCTAAAACATTCTTCTTGATTTTGTTAGAAGTGCTTGGACAGGGACCTCTCAGCAGTGGAAGATGAGGAGGCTGAGGCGCGGCTGGAATCCAAAGTGTCTCGGCACAGATGCGGTGGGTTTGGGGTTTCGGGTTTCGGATTTAGGGTTTAGGGTGTTTAAGGCCTAAACTCCTGCTAGGGGGTAATATAGGGGATTCTATTGGGGAGTATTATAGGGGTTATTATGGGGGATGGTAGGAGTTTCGACTATAGCTCATACGTTTAGTCATGATGTGCAATTAGAATCTTAGTCAGGCTGTCTGCGCCCCCCCAAGACCCGCAACTCTCATTTACACAAGGCACGTTTATGCAACGATTAAGTGTAATAGTCAATCGTCCTTCGTTTTGTGAAGCCATGTACTGATCAGGAGCTGCAACATGTCTGGTGCTTGTTAAGGAACGTTGGAATGGGTGATAGGGATGAATATAGGGGACTTCTATAGGGATCCACTTCCTTATTTCCACCATGTAGTACTTCTGTGAGGTTGCTTCGCATCAGCTTGTGTGAGGCTATTGCAGGCTGCAAACTAGATTACAGGACCTGTGATAGGATTTTCTGTGATTCCCTCTATGTCTCACGCTTCGCTGCGCTGAGGAGATGTTCAAGCTTCAAGAGCTGCAGGACGAGGTTTTGAAAATACTTTGCATTGTTCCACCAATAGGTATAGAAATAACAGTAATAGCAGTACTAGCAGTTGTGCCAGCAATAGTTATCCTAGTATTATCAGTAGGCATAGTTGTAGTATTGATAGAAATACTAGTAACAGTATGAATCGCATTAATCGCAACACCTCTTGTATGCCTTAACCCTAAACCTTGGCTATTAAGTAGCCCCCGCCTTGAAACAGTTGGATACCTAAACCCTAAACCCTAAACCCTAAACCTGTAGTTACACATAGCTCTTAAGATGACCGCTAACATAGACTGTTACAAGGTGGGCGCAGCACCCAAACCCTAAACAGTAGTTTCCATTTATGTTCCATTATCCCAATATAACCCCGATATTATAATGTTGATTTAGCACCTTGCTGCTT